GGCTCGGCACCTGTGGTTCAAGCGGCTAAGGCGCCAGCCACATACACCTAAGGTGGCGGGTTCAAATCCCCAGCCCGGGCCCGCCAAACAACGATGATGGCTGCAACCAAAAAATAGCCAGGCATTGTGGCAGGCGCCTGTGGTCCCAGCTACTTGGGAGGCTGAGGCAGGAGACTCACTTGAGCCCAGGAGTTGGAGGTTGCTGTGAGTGTGATGCCATGGCCATGGCATTCTACCTAGGGAGATAGCTTGAGGCTCCGTCTCAAAAACAAACAAACAAACAAAAAAAAAACTTCCCTCTGTAAAATCTGATTCCAAAAATTGTCATGTCATCTTACAAAGACCTTGTCTTTTATTTTTTGAAGCTAAGGGAAGGGGGATAATGCTTTTCTATCTTAAAAATGCGTCCAATATGTGGATGCATAAAAATAAATGTATATAAAAATAAGTGTACAGACCTATTCAACCTGACTGCTAGCCTGTTAGTAATACAAAGCATGATGTAAAAAGTAGCACAGGATATAAAACTGGTAAGCTTGAAGACACAAAAAAATCTGGTTATTCAACAGTAACAACTATGATTAGAAAAATGTTATTTCTTTTGGTGGTCATAATTTTTTAATCAAATGCCTTACTACATTTTTTCACGGTAACTTGTGAATTTTTAGCACATGCAATCTTTAAAAGAGATAAAGTTCAAAATCCTTTTTTAAAAGTAAATGCCAAATGACACAAAACTCTAAATAAACTGAATACAGTTTCATAAAAAATGTCTCAAGGAAAAATACTCCATGTGGACTTCAATTGCATAATGATAATTTCTCATTCAAGAAAGTTAACTTCAAATGACACTGTAAAAATAATTTCATTATCAAAAATTAAGAACAGGTCCTAGCACCACTCTGGGAGGCCGAGGCGGGTAGATAGCTTGAGCTCATGGGTTTGAGACCAGCCTGAGCAAAAAGCAAGACCCCCCATTTTCTAAAAATAGAAAGTGAGGCAAGAGGATTGCTTGAGCCCAAGAGTTGGAGGTTGCTGTGAGCTGTGATGTCAAAGCACTCTACCCACGGCAACAGCTTGAGACTGTTTCAAAAAAAAAAAAAAATTTAAGAAGAGGAAAATTTCTTATGTTTCTCTAAATCCTAAGTAACTGATAACTATTATATCCTCCAAAAAAAATTCACTAGTATTTCTCATTCAGAGTATCACCTTTCTATATATATAGCTTATATGCTTAGGAACGTTATATATATGACAGATGCTTTGAGATCATTTTGTGGTCACTCAGTCCCAGAATAGAATGAGGCAACACATGGCAATAAATTATATAACACTGTCATATCAGACAAAGCCACAAGGACTAGTGGAAGCAATTTTAAGACTGAACAGATAAGACCATATCACCATTCTCCAAAAGTGGATTGTATTATATTTCTTTTTAAGTCTTTAAATTACAGTTCTTATCCTCAGATCCTAAACTCTACTCTCAGGAGATTAAGGAATGTTTACATAGTGCCCTATCATTTTCCCTGCTAGAAAATAAAATGAAATAACCTAAATATGCATCTCTGGTGGTCATTACCTTGCAATAAACATAAGCATCTATCAAAAAGCAGAGCCCATGTATGAATACAGACTACTAAATACCCTTTTTGTAAAATAATGGAAACACCAGAAAAATAACAATATTCAATTGTTACGCTAGAAAAAAAGCTGAAAAATGTAACCAGTGTTGAACATAATAAGCAATACCACAAAGATAAAGAAAGAGATGATGCTACAGCAGACAGAAATAGAACCCAAGTGGAAGTGCAACTTTCCTCCTATTTTCTCACCCAACTGGACAGAGATTTTCTGCCCTAATTAAAAGACATTCAAAACAGGGACTAAAATGAGTAATAAGCATAACAACATTTTATTTTTAATGCAATGGTATTACTGACAGGAAACTTGGACTTAAATTTGATTCAGCTCAACTCAACCAAAAACGCCTTCCCTGTCCTGAGCCCACAAAAGACTAGAGCATCGGTTCTCAACCTATGGGTCGCGACCCACAGGAACTATATTAATGGGCCACGGCATTAGGAAGGTTGAGAAGCACTGGTCTAGAGACACCAAGATGAATAAAGAATGGTCCCTGCCTCAGGGACACTGTCCACTGGGGAAGAAGTAGACAAACTACTATTACATGACAAGGTGGGGGCTACAAGTGTGTGGTAAGGGTAGAAAGGACCTGAAAACACAGGAAAGGTGGCCAATAATCCCACCCCAGGGATGAGTGCTGATGGAGCAGAGGGTTGAGTGGGGTCTGAGGCAGGGTCTTAAACTAGGCAGGAAAAGGGGCTGACAGTAACAGACATTCCAGACTAAAGAAATGGTTGTTTTTATCTTAAATAGCATCATTACTGATTCTTCTGATGTCTCTAGGAAAAAGAAAACTCTTGTTTCAGGCTGTTCAACAGCCACAAATGCAAAAAACACGATGTGCACAAAATTTTCTGGTCTTCTAATACTGCTATTTGGAAAAGCAAACGAGTTGGCCAGTACCTATTCAGTTGAAGAACCAATAGGAAAGATTTTAAATGCAGTCACTACAAACAGCAAAACTTGCCATGAAAGCAGAAGGAAAAAAATCCAATAAAGAGAATGTTAAATGATTCCAAATATAGAAAAAGATCTGAAAAGCACTGATTCAGTTCAAATGCCATTATTAAATCGCCATCATTTAGAAAGGCTCTTCAGTCCTGGACAGGATAAACTATGGTATAATCGAGTGCATGAGATTCTTTATTCACTAGCTACACTTGAACACCTAAAGATCAAAACTGGTCATTACTTCTAAAATAAAATGGCCTCTTCCTTAGAGTCTAGATTTGTGATGTACCTTAGTCTGTGGTCGGTTGCATACTAAGAAATGAGATTAAATTTAATTGCAGTGGCTACAGCCATTTTATTCCCAAAAAAAGTTCTGATATGGACTTTGGAAAAATAAACAGTAATCCAAACCACAAAGCCTAATCCAAAACCCGGGCCCAGGTTACCCTTATATAGTTGAGGAAACTGAGGTGCAGAAAATTTGTTCTGTCAGATGAGTAGGAAATGAACTCAAATTGCATCCAGCTCGTAGCCTAAGCTTTTAGAATCCAAAAAAGTTGGCTCTTTTGACAGCCTGAGAATTTTGCAAACTACTTCAAACTACACTGAAGCCTTACCCAAACTTTGGTGGGTGGGGAAAGAATTGCCAAGCAAAAGGTCAAATCAGGAAAAACAGAAGAGAATGATAAGAGACTGGCCAAAATTAGCCGATCTTCAACAACTTCTGTCCTAAGATGTCAAGAACTTCATCTAGGTGCAGTAATTTCTCCTCCATTCTGAAAAGAGGACTAAAATGTAACAGCAAGAAAATACAGCCTGAGTCTAGTCAAAATTAATAAGGTTTCCTTCACTGTTCTAGCAAAGCAACCAGCAAGCCTTCAGAAGAAAGTGGGGGCGGGGGGGGGGGGCAGTGGCTCAGGCCTGTATCCCAGCACTTGGGACACAAGGCTGGCGGACTGCCTGAACTCAGAGGTTCAAGACCAGCCTGAGCCAGAGGGAGACCCCCATCTCTAAAAACAGCTGGGCATTGTGGTGGGTGCCTGTAGTCCCAGCTACTTGAGAGGCTGAGGCAAGATAATCACTTGAGCCCAAGAGTTTGAGGTAGCTGTGAGCTATGACACCACAGCACTCTACCTACCAAAGGTGACAAAGTGAGACTCTGTCTCAAAAAAAAAAAAAGCGGGGGCTACCAAAACGTGTTCTGGAGGTCAAAGAAGTGTCTATTAGTGCCCCAACTCCACTGTGACCTCAGGCAAGTACTAAATATCTCATACCTTTCCTCTCACCTGAAAAAGAGAGTACTACCACCTGTTCTGTCAAGTTATTGTGGGATTGGTAATAACTCTAGGAAACCACCCTACAAATGGTAACGAGTTGTGATCTGAAAACCTCATTTGAACCTCTCATACTTTTCACTTCATACCACATAATTCTGTTGTCTAGTTGCATGTAAGAATTACTAGTAAATTAGAGATGCTCTGGCTATTTCTTTAAAGAACTCCATTCTCTCACTTTTCCTAAAATGAAGGATCTCTTAGTGATAAGGGAATAGGACCTACAAGCTATAAGGGGGAGACTCTACCCAGGTCCCTCCTAGAGGAAACAGGACTGTCCACTCTCTGAAGGCAGGACTGCTCGGTTAAATGCACGACTGCAAACACATTTTCTTAAAGCAAGATAACTTTTGTGGACTTAGGCCTCTCCTAGCAGCTTACATGACTCCCAAACACTGGCCCACAAAAATTTTGTATTGCACAGTATTGAGTCACGCACACAAAAAGCTCAAAATTTTACATTGCAATAGTTTAACTGTACTGCAATATTGAAATCAAAGTACTTTGAGTTGGGTGCCTATAAGGTAACCATAATGAAGTTACACCTTTAATAATGAGGAACCGGGAACACATGGATGTCAACAGGGAGTGGGTGTCCAGCAGAGCACTCGACTGAACTGGAGCAATCCCTTGACATCCAAATTAGAACACATAACTTCTCCGGAAGGACATGTAAGAAGCTCCTCCAGGGTGTAAGAGGCCTTTAAGGCCAAATGCACCTTGGTGGAACTTTCCGTGTGTGGGGAGGTGTAGGTGTACCCACACACACCCCCAACCCCTGGCTTGAGCCCCAGATCCCCGAGTTCCCCGACCCCGAAGGTGGGCGCGCAGCGCGGAAGCGCGCCAGAGGGACAAGGGTCGTCAGCCTTTCTGGCTCTGCAAAGGGGCCAGGGCTCGGCGCTGCCCTCGGGAAAGGCCGGGGCTCCCGCCCGTCAGGAAATCATGACAGCCCGCGCGCTCGCAGCCCGCCGAGCCCCGCCTCGCCAGGCCCGCAGGCGGCTGCTCCGGGCTGAGGGGCCCGGCCGCGCCCCCTCCGCTCCCCGCGCCGGCCCAGCGCGCCCCTGGCCTCACCGGGTCGGAGCTGGAGGCTGCCGTCGCGGCGGCTGCACCACAGCGCGCGCTCGCCCTGCTGCAGGATGTAGTGGTCCTTAGCCTGGAAGAGCTCCATGCCGGCCCCGCGCGCAGAGGGAGGCGGCGGCTCGCGGGGGGAGCACGGGCGCCCTCGTTGGCCACGGCCGGCGGAGCCCGCGCTCCAGGGAGCAGCGAGGAGGGACGGCGCCGAGCAGCAGCGGCGAGGGAACGCCCGGGGGGCCCGACCCGCCGGCGGAGAACGCGCCCCGGCGCGGCGGCCGTAGAGGCCTCTCCCCCGGCTCCTCCCCTTCCCCGGCTCCTCCCTGACTGACTCCTCCCCGGATCCACCCCGGGCCCCTGGCTCCACCCCGACGTCTCCAGGCTCCGCCCCGAGCCCCGGTCCCGCCCCCTCCTGCCTCTCTCCCGCCTCTTTCTCCTGTCGGCTCCCTCTCCCTACCCTTCCTCCGGCTTCTCCCGCTTCCTCCTCCCGCTCCTCCTTTCCTTCCGCCCCTTCCCGCTGCCCCTCCCCGCCCCTCCCCCGGCCGGCCCCCCCTCGCCCTCGCGCGGTCTCGGGGCGGACGAGCCCTCCTGGGACCTTCCCTCCTCGCCGGCAGGTCATGCCTTTCACCAACCCCTACGGAACTCAGGCCGAGTCCCTACATCCGGCCCCACAACCCTTCCTCCCGCGGACTTTAGCGGCCCACAGAGACCCCAAAGGGACAGCTGGAAAACTGGACCCACCTGGCTGGTCGCAGGGCTTCACCCCCAGCCAGGCTCTCCGCCGAGTTCAGGTGTTGTCTTTGTTCTATTTCCAATTAGAACGGACGGTTGACAACAGCAGGCATTCGATAAATGCACATCAACAATAGAAAATACACGAGTATTAGCAGCACAGGGCTAAACAGCGAGGAGGGAAGTAGAGGTGCTCCCGTCTTCCGAATTAAGCAGGATGAGACCGAGACCTCATAAAAGCTAGTTAGTGAAGTGAAAGGGATATACTTTGGCGAGGGCAAGATGAAAGGAAAACTTCTTGTGCAAGGAGTCTTTCCTAAGCATCTCTGAGCTCAACGTACCTTGAAAAACCAGAATGGGTTTGGGGAATGAGGCCCCCAGTCCCAGGCCCAGTTTGGGTTCTGTCTACCTGGGTCACCTAGTTCCTTGGTCTCAGATGGCAGTTGAAAGAATGATCTTTAATTATACTCCCAGTTTTACAAACCAGTTGAGTTCTTTCTATGTTCTCTAATGTCTGAGCAAAAATAAGAGTTTTCTTTTTAGACTAGATAGGGACAAAAAAAGGGAGGCAATACTTTCTCTCTTTCTTTTTTTTCTTTTTAGTAACAGAGTCTCTCTTTCGCCTATGCTAATGTACAGTGGCCAGATCACAGCTCACTGCAGCCTCCAACTCCTGAGCTCAAGCAATCCTCCTGCCTCAGCCTCTTACGTGGCCTTTTTTATTTTTTTCTTTCCATGTAAAGCCCATGTCTTGCTATGTTGTGCAGGTTGGCCTGGAACTCCTGGCCTCAAACCATCCTCTTGCCGTAGCCTCCCAAAGTGCTGGGATTGCAGGTGTAAACCACCTCAGCAAGCAAAGAAGCAATACTTTTAACCGTCTGCTCAAATAAAAGTGAGAGGATCCAAAGAAGGAAAGATTTACACATGAGTAATTATTCCAACCCACAGTGATTTCATTATTGAATTTCCATAGCACAGAAAGTCCCATGACAACAAAATGTCTTGAATCTTTTCTAATAAGTACCATGCCTTCCGGGCTATTCAGGCTTCTCACCATAAGGGTCAAGGGCATGGGGTTGGTGGTTACCATATCAAAACTTTGTGATGTGATTTGGACAAAGAAGGTAATGAAGATTAGTTTTAGTGAAACCATCAGTTTCAGATTTATTGTCAAATTCAGCCATATGTTGTCTTTCTTTAGCAAAAATGAGTAACGAGAAATCTTACAAAGACAGAATGTCCTGCAAATTATTTCATTATAGTTTTGATGAATCTCATTGCTGGATGTGAGGGAAACAGCGCTGTTGCTGCCATTTTAAAACAATTAATTAGTTGATTGACACTTTCCCTTATGTTTCAGATCAGTGGTTCCAAGCCTGGTTACCGATTAGAAACACTTGAGGAATTTTTCCTAACACAGCCATGCATGGAGCTCAGACCAATTAAACCAGAATTTAATTGGGATAGGACTCTGGCATCAGTATTTTTTTTTTTTCTAAGCTCCCAGATGACTCTGATGTGTAGCCAGGGTTAAGCACCACTGTTTTAAATAAAATTAATTATGGCTCGGCGCCTATAGCTCAAC